ATTTTTTTTTTTTTTTTATCTCCTCTCCTCACTACAGCTCAACGCAAAAAGTCATTGTCTTGCTCCTTGACCACGGTGGAGCCAAGGGAGCCCTGCCACTGACAGGAGGAGCTGCAGCTCCCCTCTCTTAGAAAGGTCAGAGGACACGAGCAGGGCTCGGTGACTTCTTCTCCCAACAAGTCCAGGGCAGTACATCACCTCTCCTGTGACGGAAGAGCCACTCCAGAGGTATGTAGGCTCCCAGATGGTCACATTTTCCTGTCCAGAGCAGCTGCATGGGAACAGCATGACCTGTGCATCAGCACAGGCGGGGAACTTATTGAATGAGCAGCAGCACTGCTGGAACGGACCTGAGAGGGATGGTGGATGCTAGGGTGAATGCACGTCAGCTGGACTTGCTCAGTCCTGTAAAGAGGAGGCTAAGTGGAGATCTAATAGCAGCCTACAAATATTTGAAGGGAAGATAAAAGGTGATGGAGCCAAACTCCTCTTGGTAGTGCCAAACAATATAATAAATGGTAAGAGTCACAAATCGTGCCTTAGAAAATTCACGTAGGGCACCAGGAAAACCGTTTTCCCTAAGAGGGTGGCTCAGCCTTGGAACAGATCGCCAGAGACAGGAGGATGTCCATCCCTGGAAGTCTCCAAGGCTTGGCTAGGCAAAGCCACAGCCAACCTGACCTAGCGTTAGGGATACTCTTGCACCAGCAGAAGATGAAACTAGAGACCTCTGAAGGTCTCTTCCCACCAATGCTCTGTGACTCTTCGATTTCAGACTCAAGTAAAACAGCACTGAGAATATCTTTTAACATGTTCTGCTGAATAAAGAAATGTATCCTTTCTTATGTGAATCCCAAAGTAGTCATAGGATCTGCAGGAAGAAAGCTTTGCTAAGCGCTTTGCCAACATCTCTCAACACAAGGACTGTAGAATATCAGACAGAATTAGCAGGTTTCAGGATTAAAATAAGCTGAAAGAATAACAGTTTAACACAACACGTTAGTTTACCTGCGCAACTCACTTTCAGAGTATGTGGTAGGTCTCAATGGGTTCTGAACAGAATTAGACAAATTCCTGAAGAAGGCAGCTATTAGAGTTGATGGTCTTGTCAAGAACATCCCAAACTGCTGATTAATAGCAGCTGGAAGGGTACAGTCGCTACTTATACAGTCTTCTTAAGTATCTTCTGTTGACGCCAGTGGCAAAAAGATAGTGGGAGAGACAGACCTCTGATTTTGGCTCTTTTGGGGTTATTCCATACACTCACAACACCTCCATGGCGGGCGCTATGGGCAAGGAACGTGCAAGGGGAATTTATTGCACCTCAGCTAACTCCTAGACCAGAGTCACCGCAAGTACTGAGTGAGGGGTGGAGCAGACCTGACAGGAGAGATCAGGATCACTCCATCTAGACCTCACCTCCACCTGACAGCGGCCAGCAGAGCATGCAGGTGTGGTGCCAGTTCATGCACACAGTGTGCACCCTTCAGCCTGGGGAAATGCAAATTGCTGCCTCTTGGGGACAGCAAATTGCTTTGACAGGGGAGGGAAAGATTTTCAGTCTGGCTCCCTAATGAAATGAGGCTCACAAAAATCATAGTCTCTGTCTAGCTGTTTCCTCTGGTAAGGACTCGTGAATCCAGTAGCCACCTTCACCCAGTCTCAAAGATAATCAAGTTCCCACAAGCACAAAGAAAACAAGCAGCAACGGAGAGAGAAAAGGACACTCCAGTCCCTCTGCTGAGGGGAAGGCAGGGGTTCCAGCACAGCTCTTACAAGGTGCCAGAGGTTCCATAGAGAAAGTCTCTATGAGCACCCCAAAAATGAACACCAAAAAATCCCACTCTGTATACAAAGTCATAGGAAACCTCCACCAGTCACACCCCGCTCAACACCGCTCGACTCCTCTGTTACCTGCCGTTGACCAGCGGGTGCGAGGATCCTGTGCCCTGCCTGGTGCACCTCGATGAGTTACATACATCTTCATACAAAAACAAAGCACGACCCACTACATATCTAAGCTGAAGTCTTTGGCAAGGTCAATGAAGTGACGAGTTCTCTAATGCATCTAGGGGCTCCCCAGAGCCAGATCAGGCCTGTTTGCCTGCCCTAGCCAGGGCTTCTGTGCCATATGGCTGGCGTGACAGCAAATGCCACAGTTCAGTGCAAGGCCACAAGCTCAAATCCAGCCTGGAGCAGCATGAAGTGAAAGCTGACACTGCCTAGTGACGGCTGGCCGCTGTGTGTGAAACCAGCCGCGGGTTCGATCAGCTCTGGGAACAGACTGAATAATTTCTCCCTGGGGCCACACCTGAAGTCACCCATCCTAGCTGGCACATGGCTCCAGGTCAGGGTTAGAGCACTCTGCCAGCCATGGCACTGCCATACGCTGTTTAGGGGGGTGGGATGCCATTTACCCGATAATAAGCTCAGTGCCAGACTCCCACTCTGTGAGATGCCATCTCCTCTTCCTTCACAAGCTGGAGATCAGGCTGAAGAGATCTCCCTTCCTCACCATGCAGCTCCCCTGCTGCCAAATCCCAACTCCTGACCCCCCTCCTGCCTGCTCAAGCCAGCATACCCCAACCTGTCGGATCCTTCCCCTGCTTCCCCCAGCCTTGTCTGCCTGCTCTACCCCGCCCCACGGGAGGCCGGCCCTCTCCATCCCGAAAAGGCAGAGCTGAGCAGTCCGCATCCCACTAGTCCTGCTGCTTGGTGAAGCTGTCCCTAGATTGTTCCTCCGTGTGAGGGTGGCGGATCATGTTCCAGCCAGGTCTAAGAACATGGAGCACCCTTAAAAGGGCCTCAGGACTGGGCCATCCCATCCACCATTGCAGAAATCAGGGCATCCTACTAGGGCTGGAGGGAAGAGGGTCTCACGTGTTTGCTTGAAGTTACTAACCGCAGGACTATGGAAACCAGCTGCAGGATGCCTTCTGTTCTTCATGGCATAAAGAGATCAAAGACACAGAGTGGTCATGCCCTACTAATAGATGTTACCAGCTCAATGCTGCAACTGCCACGTTGTCATAGCTACCATGCTTTCATTACAAGTAATGATTTATAGAGACAGTACCGCAGCAGATAGGGCCATACACAGCTCTTGGAGATGGCCTGTTCCCCCGGGGCCATCTGTCTACACAGAGCATGCAGAGCCCACAGAGGGGCCCGAGCCAGCCTGGCACCATCAGTCAGGTCAAACAGGGGCCTGACCCATGTCTCCGTCTGTCTGGGCTCCTTCACTCCCCTGAACACAGCAGATACTCCTGGTGCTGAGGTGAGCGTGGAAGAATTGCCCCAACTCAGGTCAGGGCTAATGAGCTGCAGCGCTCCTGTCTGTTGCGGACAGCCTCTGGAGTTGAGGGGATCAACTATCTCTGCTCCTTAGGCTTGCCGGCATGTGTGACAGACACCAGTTATTATATCACCAGGGCTGATGGGGAGAGACAGCTATTCTCATGCAGCACCTGAGCACCCTGCCCCAAAGACAAGCAGAAGAGTCAAGAGTCGCAGTTCAGCAGCCCTGCCTTGTCGGCAACATGTCAGACTGCATATGGACAGCAATAGCTCAGTCTGCAGGCTGGTTTTCTTATTTGCTATGCACCATGGTGGTACCTATGCGACTTCTGTCAGAGCTGTTTCATCTGCTCTGGACAGCTGGGGGAAGCCCGACCTGGAAGGTAAACCAGGAGATCTTTGCCATTCAGTTAAGGTCACAGTTAAAAAAACCCTGCTTTCTTGCAATCTGTTTTTTTCCAGCGGTATTGTATTGGGGATGACTCCAAAGTCCCCCCAAACTGGAGCCAGAGGAAAGGATACGTTGCGCAGGAAAGGGAATGGCTCACTGCTATATCCCTGGAATCGCAGCCCAGAAGAGAAAGAGGAGGTATTTGTAGGACCCCTCCTGCTGCCCACATCCTACATGCCAAAATGGCTGTACACTCAGCAGCAGGTGATCACAGGTGGGAAGATGTCCTCCGGCCCTCACATAAGCAGCACAAAGCCTCCTCCATGTCCCTGTGGCTGTCTGGCCTGGCTTGCATTATATGGATTATATAGGCTTAAAGGAGAGACGCACTGGGGGCAGTGTACACATGCTGACTTCTTTGCGTCTCAGCCTCACCACTAAATTGGGGGCATCAGCTAAAGTCACCACCCGGGCACTTGGCTGCAGTCAGTCATCCTCCTTCACCCTGTTCTGGGTTGACGACATGGGGATTTACAGCTGGGAACTGCTCAGTATTTGTGGTCTGTGGTTCTGCACTGGTGGTTCTCAGCACCTGTATCTCTGTGCAGCACAGGCCCACAGTGCCTGAGCCCTGGCTTGCTGCAAAACCCAAATTTCAGAGAGTAACCTCTCCCGTGCTGGGGAACTATTCAGGTGCTGTCCTGACCAAAGGGGTCACAGAGCTGCAAGAACTTCTCAGGGCATAGGGGAAGCAGAACCCAACAGATCCCTCTAGTTAACACCCATCTACAGAATAGACAGAGATGCAATTACTGCTCCCGTTGTTTAGGAGTTTCTTTTTTTAAAAGAAGCTGGCCTAAATTCCTATTTACACTGACACTCAAAGTCCGTTTCTGGTGGAAAGCAGCCCTTACATAAGTGAAAAGCAGTCAGCAGGGTCAGCAGTCGCAAAGATAACTGTCTTACAGCAGTCATCACGTTGCCCTCACAGCACCACATGCTCCTCCTGCATATATTTCTACAGAGCTGTGTATTTCTGGAATGTAACAACAGAATGTAATTTTAAATGGATGTTTGCTTTTGTGGCACTAAAGCAAATCTGATAATGACTGTTCTCAAAATGTCTGGCTTCTCTCATCACCCGTACTTGTAGCTGGTGCTCTATGGATTTTAACATCTGCAGGTTCCACAAGGTGGATTTTTATCTCACCCTGACTATTTATTGCACCCGCCTCCGAATGCCCTCCATCTGCAGTCAAGCAGTTTCATACCCTCTTTTGTCTCCTCTTCTCTGTGCCACCATGGTACTTACTCCGAATGACGCCTGTCAATGCCACTGAACAACTCCCACAGCTCCTCCGAGCTCAGGATTCCATCAGCAAAATAGTTCTTGAACTCCTCAAATGACAGCTTCCCATCATCTGCATTTAAATAAAAGGCAAGAATAATTATATATCTGCAAAGAGAAGCATACAGGCCCCAGTCATCCTCCCCGCAGTCTTTCTACTTGGAGCGTGGGACGGTTGGGCATGTTATGCATAATAATCAGAGCAGAGATTTCATTGGAAGCACATCCCAACACACAAAGTGTCCCCCTCCACCCCCCGTCAAAAAAAAGGAATGCTGGCAAACAAGGCCACTGTTGCTGGAATTTCAGGTAAAAATTTCAGCGAGCCCCAACCCTTCCAAAAAATCCTGCTGTAACATTTTCAGAAATGTGTTTGACACGATATTCTATAGATTTTCCAAGCTGCATTTCCATTCAGCTCTCCACAGTATAGAGCCTACTATAAACAGCACAATGCGGACTGTATCAGTTTTTTATGGAAACAAAATCTTCCAATTCATTCACAAGCTTTTTTTCCCCCCTTTTGTGGAGAACTTGAACTTTTGGGTTGCATTCTGATCCGAAACAAACGTGGCTCCTGGAATCTGCACTCTACCATGAAAGACAAGAGCCCAAGGGGGATGGCTCAGCAAAGCGACTTGGAATTTTGGACTTCTTGGTTTATGGGTGCCAAATTTAAAAATCGTTAGCAGAGCCTGACCCTCAAAAGCTAGGGGCTCCAGCGGGCATCCAGGAACAGAGTTATCTGAGCAAGGGGCATGAATAAAGCCCTGGACTGAGTGTGGAGCCTGAGTCAATTCTGCAAGGGATGGAAAGAAAGCCTGGTAGATCCTGGGCAGCTCTGCTGCACGGCTTGGCTTGCCTGCCCCTCGCAGTGCTAACAGACACACCAGAGCCAAGTCTATGCAGGAGGTGACAAGACACCAGCCAAACCTTCCAGGCAGTTATCACCGCCATGCTCTGAGCCTGCCTCTGTCTGCAGTTGCCAAGCCAGGGAGAGCAGGAGGGCAGAGCCTGGGGTATCACCCAGGGACTGCACAGACACGGTGCCCACAAGGTGGGCATGACCGACAGGCCCCTGCCCACAGGCCTGCAGCAGTGCTGCTTCCCCCTGGAGAGGGCCTGAGCTCTTCTCTGCAGCACTGGAGCGTGGAAGTCTAAGGAGAAGACCTGGCCAGTGTTTGCCACCTCCCTGCTATGACGCTACACGAGGAACACGAGGGTGATGGAGTAGCAGGACCTGGGGTGAAGGGGAGCTCACAGCAGTTAGTCCTGCCCAGGAGATTTGCACTCAAAAAGCGAAGCAGGGCAGAGTGGAGAAGGTAGCTAGGGCAGCGCTGGGTCGGGGAGAAGAGGAGCAGAGGGAGCCCACAGCTGCCCCCCACAGCAAAGCCCAGGGTAAACACAGGGGGAAGAAGCTGGGAGGCAGAAGCGAGGCTTGGTGGTTGCCAGCAATCGTGGGCTCTATGGGCACTGCCTGCCTCCTCTGCTGTCCCCTCCTCACCACGTGTCCCAGCAGCACGGTCAGCCCCAGACGACGCAGCTCAGCTTAAGAAAGGCAGCAGAGATGCACCCATAGAGGCAGCTCCTTCCCAGGGAAGCCCACTTCCCCAGCCCTGGCCAGGCCTCATCTCTGCCTCAGTGTCTTTTCCTCCTGGGGAAGCAGAATGGCTGTTTGCTTCCAGCCGGAGAGCTGTTTGCCCTTGACCTCCTTCACTTTTTCAGCAGATACCCCAGCAGGGAAGGGCTGTGCTGCTTCTCTCAGGCCCATACTGTGAGGGGGAGGCAGCGACAGGAGCAAAGCACTCACCGTTCTTGTCGGCTCGCCGGAAAATCTGAAAGAGAAAACACGACACACTTTAGAGACACAGCAGGGCGAACGGCACTGCTGGCTCGAGTGAGGCAGCACCCAGCTCTCCCCGGCTGCTTCACGAAAACCACTTCCTGGACCCAGCAGCCGTGCAAAAGCTAAGCCCAGGCTACCAGGGCTGTGAAGGACAATGCTGGACAGGTTTATTTGAGGGAAATTTCCCTTTGCAAATGATTAAAACCGTTTCTCTCCTCTGATGCACAAAGCGCTAGGCTCACCCGCTGATGACTTGGCAGGCCCAGCGTTTGCACAGAGCACCTTTTAGAGAGCACAGACGGAGATGATTGAGAAAGAGCATTACCCTCTTTCTCATTTTTGCTACACCCTTGTGATGGAAAGTGTTTAATTTTTCAGATCTCTTAAATGAAAGTGTATGAAGCATAAAAATATTCCGCAATGGAAGCACTTTGTGTATCATCTCTGACACTCCAACCATCTGCACCAAAGAGCAGCTCTCCTCTTGCACTTTATAATCACCCTTTACAATACCACTTCTTCCTGGGACACACACTCACACACACATGCACACACACACACCACTGCTGCCTTCTCCAAGGGTAATTAATAACAGAGCCTCTTGGGAATTTGCTGATGAAACATTATCCGTATTAAAGCAGAAACTCTTTGGAGAAACGTGCTGGTGTTCGACAATGCTGCCACCAAGAAAGGCTTTCTCAGCCCCAGGACGGCCATTGTCCCTGGCTCCACGAGACCGTGAGAGCAGGTGAAGGCACGAGGACCATGCTGCAGGCCAGGAAGCGTGCTTCAGCAGCGCGCAGCTCAAGAGCAGCTCGGGTTCAGGGTCTCAACCCAGCTTCCCAACCGTGAGGCTTCTGACTATGGTCCAGGAGAAAGCTGGAGCTTCCTATTCCTGTCTTTCTCCCTTTTCATAAATAAGCGTCTTGGGTGAGTTCTGCTGTTGAACAGCATAATTTCTGAAGCCTGGAAAAGTACAGCCCAGTACAAGGTTTTGTCCAGCACATCCTAACAGAGCCAACAAAGTCTTGCGTATAACAGAACTTTTTCTTTTTAATCTCTTTCAGGTCTGATGAAAGACGAGGCACGAAAAAGGGCAGGAAGAGGAGAGAAAAAGGACGAGGCATGAAAAAGGGTAGACTTTATTATATTCTTTTCCATGAACCCGCAAAGGAGAAGCGGCTGATAAAACCACCCCCAGACAAGCTCTGCTCCTTGCTGCGGGAAGACGTACCGCTGCCAGGCTGTCCCCTCCACCAACCGCCTCCTCTGCCCTGGCTCTGTTCCTGCACTGCTTGTCGATAGTTTTGCTGCGCTTTTGTGGGGTTACAAGCTTATGTCTGGCCGGGTCAGTACAGTCACTCAAATACTTTTGAAAATTGCACCCTTGGTGTTGACACCCATAGTGTCAAAACCCCGCACACGCAGCCAAGGCAGGAGGGCTGTGCACAAATCAGTGTTAGCAGGGCCAACACAGGCTTGACAGAAAAAGTAAAAATACTGCTGAGAAGGGAAGTTATTTCTCTGGCTCTCTTTCATCACCAGCAACACCATGAACCTGGCGCTGCTGGACTGCAGTGAAACCTGAGTTAGCGGCAGTCCGGCTGGCTTGGTTATAACTCCGCCAGCTGCAGATGCTGCATGCAGGCGGCAGCGTCCACCCAGTGCTGCTGCAACGCTGCATCACCTGGAGCGTTCAGAGGTACCTGCTGGGGTCTGAGCCAGGCTGCCAGGCTGAAAGTGCAGTGGCAACAACAGCATTTTGCTGGCACAAGCAGCACCACGGGCTCTGCTGAGCCCCAAACCGCCATAATCTGGGAGAAGGGTTCCTACCAATGCCCCCTTCTATGGGGCAGACGCTGCTAACTACTGATTTATTGCTTGGAGGCAAAAATAGCAGGAACAGCTGCCTGGAGAAATCTCTGCAGCTCATTCCCAAAGAAGCTGCTGCTTTGCAACCAGGCAGAGGCTCTTCTGATGCTGTCCCAGTAGGGTACTCCCTGGTCCCTCCCCATGGCCGGCCCACAGGAGCAGGGACGCCTCCTCAGAAGGATGCTCTTTTGAGCAGGGCAAACCCTCCCCCTCAAGCTGCTGCAGGGGACAAAGCCTGCCCTGAGCTGACCAGCGTTAGGTAACAGTACCTATGGGATGCAGATTTCCGGTCAGGCAAGGCTGCTTTTCTTGCATGAAAATATACCAGGGCACTCTTCGAGCATCCATTAGGACTCACCGGATGCACTTTGGAGCTTTACAGCTACCAATTAAGTACAGAAATCTGCAGTTTTCACCCGCTGGGGATTTCCCTGGGTTTTAAAGCAAAACTTTCTCGAGGCAATAGGGTCTGCTTGTGCATCTGCCTTCATTAGGGCTTTCAGAGCAACAGGGTTACACAACTGCAGAGGCCGTGTGGGGATGCAGTGGCTGTTGCCTGGCCGGAGTGGTGTAGCTCAGGGAGAGCCAGCAGGTCCCACCTGGCTGTGCCGCCTTCAATATGGCACCCGGCGACAACCCTGGCCTGCCAGATTTCATCTGCTCGGGATGCAATCTCCTCCCTTCGCAGTTTGAACCTGCTCCGAGGGCTCCCTCCCAGGGGCTGGGGGAGCAGGTCCTCCCACAGCATCCCCTGGGGCTCTGAGGACAGAGGCGGCACTATACAGGAACACCAGCAGTGATTCATTTGCACTCAAACGGTGGAGCCGGGGCGGCAAGCTGCAAGCAGGCCCCAGTGGTACACCAACATTTTCCGCCAAGGGCAAAGCCCAGTTCTGCAGAGCCTTCCATGGCTCTGGAGGCATCGGAGGGACACGGGGCTCATGCAATGACATTTCTGTCACCACACTTCCCACCTGACTCCAAAATGCCACTGACTGTCACCAAGACTGACTAGTTCACCTTGCACACTGCCAAGTGTCACCACGGCACTTACCAAGCACAGGTTCAAGTGAGCCCAAATGTTTCCCATTCCCAGAAGGATGGGAGGCGGCTTAGGATCAGTAGGAAGGAGCACACAATGGAGCACAGTTTTTTGGGAAACCTACCCAGTAGAGCTTGTTACAGAGAAACTCATCTCTCTGTTAGATGACCAGATGCAGAAAAGTACCTCCCCAGAGGATGCTCCTGCCCAGCTTTTGCAAGAGTGGTGGGAGTAAAACCAAGCAACCAACAGAGCCGGCATTGCAGGGAGAGAGCAGAGAGACCACGATGGATGCTGGGGCTCAGCATCCAAAGCCCCAGAGGATGTCAATTAGGTATTGACTATCCATCCACCACCCCATGCCTGGGGGGTGTGGACAAAGCCAGGCAGCCCCTGTAGGTGTGAAGACTCCTCCTTGGACAGGGTCATCATCGGGGACCTGGCAGAGCCCTCAAGCTCAAGATACACCTAATCCTCACCTCCCCGCAGAACGCAGCCAGTCTGAGCGTGGGAAGGTGACGAAGACCCTGAAAGAAGGGGAAGAGCAGGGAATGGACTGGCAGCATGGCCTCTCTTGAGAGCTGCAGCATGACAAGCACGCTGACCTGCTGCTACCGCCAGTGTGAGAGCCCTCTGGGACAAAGCCTGCTAATAATAGGGACTCTCCTTAGCACTGTCTTGCAGCCTTCTAATGCTCTTGCAGCCATCGAAGCTCTCTCAAAGCGACCCTGGGCAGGAAGGGAAGGAGCAGGCTCTTCATCCTCTTCTCTCCGACTTCATCTAAGTGCTAGAGACGGTGGGTTTAAGAGAAGCTTTGGAGAGAGGACATGTTTCGTGCTTGCTTCAGGCTTTTCTCCCTCTCCAACAAAAATACTTGGCCTGTTTGGAAACTCTGGCCACGGCAGGGAGACACGGCAAGCCCTGGGAACGGGGGGCACCCCACAAGGCACAGCTGTAAACTGCGTTTCCGCAGCCCCGAACAGGTAGCGGCAGGACAGGGGACGGGATCGGACTGCCGGCTGGCTCCCCGGCTGGGCGCTCCCTGGGAAGGGCAACCTCATCCAGGCTGGCCACAGGCAGCAGGGGCTGTCTGGGGGCTAGGAGGGAGAGGTGCCGCTTTGAGGGGATCCCATGGGGTCAGGAAGGCTGTAGCTCCCGAATCTGGGATGAGCCTGTCCTGGACTCGGTGTAAACCCCAGCAAACAGAGCTAACCCTTCTCCCTCGCACGCGGGAACCTCCGCTCCAGCAGCGTGCTGGAAAAGCCCTGCCAGCGCACACACGAGAGCTGCTTGGAGTTCAAACTAAATAAATACAGCGCTTCGCAGGCCCACGGGAAGCGGAGCTGTAAGAGCCCTGCGAGATGAGACACCCGCTCTGCGTCCCCCGCGGTAGCGTGCACCCGGGGACGGCAAGGCTCCGCGCTGCACGCTGTTTTCGGCGCGCCTGTCCTCGGCAGAGGGGCGCCTCGGTGAGCGGATACGCCGCTACAAGGCAACACGCGCCGGACAACGCTAGCGTCACCTGCGCCCAAGGCAAGATCTAAATGCAGCCAGGAGAGAACAACACAGAGGCATCGCCAGGCTCCGCGAGGGGCTCCCCCAGCGCCCCCGGGGCGCAGGCGCGTTCACAGCAGCGGCAGGCAACGCTACGCCCCTGCTCCGCGTTACACCGGCCGCCGGGGTCGGGACGGCCGCCCTGCGGACGCTGAGCCCATCAATGCGACGCAGGGGAGAGCGGGCAG